GGGAATGTCCATAAGTGTTTACATGGAAAGTTACCTCCAAATTATTGATATTCATTTTTTTGTTAGGCACATTCACAACTATCTTTAGAATTGTGATTACTGTTTATATTACCCAATTATCTTCTTGTGTGAATTTTACATTACACAGAAATTAACAATTCAAATCTCAAGGATAAACATATGTGACTAGGAAAAGAGTAGGAAATTTAAATAATCAAGGTTTTTGAAAACTTTTGAGTTGTACTTTGACATATGAAAGCTTGGGCTTCCTCACTCCTGTTTCAACAAGAAAAAGCTAGGCAAACTGAAAAAAAACACAGTGAATTTTCTTGGACACATTAGAGAAATGAAGTTGCAGGATAAAATGCCACCTTCAGACAGACACAGTCAAGATCTCCTTACCTAGAATAATAAGTAACTATAACAAGGTTGCAGCAAGCAAGGATATATTTGTCTCAATCTTTGAGAAATGGCTGAATTCAGTAACACAGAAGATGAGTCTGGAGCACCTTTAAATGTCAAAAAGTAAAATAGTGCACCCCCAAAATCTACAATAATGTCAAAAGGACACATCAGCCAACTCAAAGTGCCCAATGGCCAAGGCTGTAAAAATCTGAGCAAAGATAAAGAAGGATAAGATTATATCCCAAAGTAAACAATTAAGTAAATAAATTGGAAAAATGGATAAATCTCTCATTAAGATGAATTCCAAATAATCATATTAATACTTTGTTCTCAAGGATATGGAGTGCTCCTTAAACATGAGTGCTTGTAGTGACTTCCTTTCAAAAACTACAAAATGGAAATGGGAAAAATGGTAACTATAGAAACACATGACAAACACTGCTCCAACCAGGTGATCCATGTTAACATGATACTTGTATGTCATGTTGAGAATGCACCTATGATATCATGTGATGAGAATGATACTTTCCCTATGTGATCATCCTCCCCCCAAACACTGTTCAATCTGGTAATGGCAAAAATTTAAGAAAAATTTCAAGAAAGGGACATTCTAAAAAATACCTAACCAACACTCCTCAAAACTGTCAAGGTTATAAAAGACATGAGAAATCACAAAAATTGGCAGTGTGACAAAGATCCTAAAGACACAAGATGATCAAAAAAATTTTTTTTCTAAAAAATAAAAAAGTTATGTGGTATCTTGGGTGTAATCCTAGAACAGGAAAAAAAAAGATATTAGGTAAAAATTTAAGGAAATCTAAGTAAAATAGAGTCTTTAATGTCAATTATAAATGTTAAAATGTTAAAAACTAATATTAATAGTGGTTCATTGACTATAATAAATGTATCAAGCTATTGTAAAATACTAATAATGGGAAATTGGGTTGGGGTGTGACAGCTTTCTATACTCTTTTTATGATTTTCCTATAAATATAAAATTACTCTAAACTTAAATGTTTATTTTTCTAAAGTCAAAATAAAAACAAAAATATAGAAAGTTATATAATTGTGAGAGGGCAAAATTATTAAGAAAAAGAACAAAAGAATGGGATTATTTTTGTAATGTTTTTCTCAGATGTCACTCTTATGAAGATAGTCATAGACATTCATCAGAGTCAGCAAGAAATGTTGGGGCATAAGGGAGTATCTTACATTGAACAAATGATTTTGGTTTATTTGCAACAACATATTGAGTCAAACATGACAATTTAGCTTCATAATAAATATTTTGGACTGTGTTATCCAAGTTATTTGGATGTTTATAGAGTCTGCCCTTCACAATGTGTTATATAGAAAAGAAAACAATATAGTAACTTTTGGAATGGAGTATCACGGGTTCACATAACAGATTGGTGAGGTAGAGAAAGTGAAGAAAGTAGAAGCTTCTAGTCCATGTAACAGTGTGGTTACTAAATCAATATGGTCCACATTTCTCTGTGAAAATAGTATATGGTGATTTTCATACAACCACATGTGTAACTGATACAATGAAAAGATCTATACCCCAGAATGGTTTAAATTCATAAAGCAATTCCCTTGCAAGAATGCTGAAAGATAAAGATTCCTATGTATTCAATAGATTTCAAAAGTTGTCCTTGCAACTAATAAGTCTATTATAAGTAAAACTGGAAAGATAATTAGAACCTAAAAAAGGCAATGACTACAAAACTAATTATACTTCCCTTCGCTTTAAAAGAAATGTTTTTATAGAGGCATTTGGTCTCAAGAATAGGGTCAGAGTATTCTTATTTTAACTTATTACCTCTTCTCATTTTAACAAATGAGAATAGCTTTTATTCTTGGCAGCCTTCAGAAAAGAAAATATTTATCTCTCTTTCAAATTGCTGTTTTGAAGCTCAAAAAAATAAATGAAGAGTTGACTATGCAGTTCAAAAATGAGAGTCTATTTTTTTCTTGAAAATGCTTACTTCACATCAGTTTTGAATTGGTATTTGTCCTCAAGGCTGTGCCTCAATCATTCTGAAGGTCTGGCCCTCTACTGAAAAGAAATAATGCTCTTTTCATAAAACTTTTTAAGATGATGATTTCCAATGAAGTGGTAATAGCAATTAAGATTAAGGTATCACCCCACAAGTCACAGAGAGGAGGAGCTAATGACACACTCCACTGAATGGCTGGCTAGGCCATCTCCTCTAAGTAAAACAAATCTCCAAGCCCAGGATATGTTTGATAGACACCCTGAGTTGGTGGACTCAACTTCTCTTTCCTTTCCACTGCTTTGTCTACCTCTACTATAGATACGTGAAGGCTAAAAGCTTCATTTTCCTTCCTTCTTGTGTAAGCCAAAGGAAACTGAAGTCCCTTCCTCTCTGTCTTGGTTTTCCTTCCCGGGGTTGCTATAGCCATTGCAGAGAGTTACAGGTGGTCTGGTTCCTTGTTGTCATTGACCCTGACTGCCTAGCCCTACATTTATTGCACAAGATAAATGAATGCTCTGTGTTTAAGCCACCACTGTAATAATTTCTGTTACCTGCAACTAATGAGTTCAGTAAGTTGATAGTCGAATTCAGTAATGACTTTTAAGTGATTAGCACTCTATAGGCCCAAGTGAATAACATTAAGACACTGAAGGAAACTGGAAAAATTGGTAAAGCTGAAGTGCTTGAACACTACTCAAAGAACTATTTGAATGCTTTCATTCTGTAATTCTCAAAGAACCTCTGTGTGAAAGGTGATTTTATCATTCCCGTGTTCTGATTGAGAAGACTGAATTTAAAAGGGATTTCAGTGATCTGTAAATATAGAACTGTGCTTACACAGCTGATGAGTAATGGACTTTCATTTGT